ATAATTAACATCTCCCCAACGCAAAAATACATCTTGAAAACTGTGTATCATGTAGTTGAAGTCAGAGTCATAAAAACAAGGTGAATGATGGTTTCGAAATAACAAAATCCAGTTTAAAAAATCTGGCAAGTGCATTGTACACACTACAGGTTTAGCCAAAGTTTTTTTGGTAAGGTTGTTAACTTCATTTTCTGCTGAAGTGGGAGATCTTGACCCTTGAAGCCTCAAAAGAAGGAAACTGAGGAATGTAGTCAGATGTAATTTATGAATGATATTCAGTTGTTGAGACATGGTGTCAATCTGCAGGTTATGTTCGTACATACCTTACATGGTCCGGTTTGAACTCTTTTTTTTTTACATGTTAACTTGTAATGATCCAACTCAGTCTTCTGAGAGTGATTTTTAACAGTCATCAAGCGTTGTCTTATTTACTTTTTTTAAGTCTTAATTCTGTGAAACTTACCAGCGGAAACTATTTTGAAATGTTTAATTCTTGCAGTTGTTAAATTGGCACGTTTTTCTTGTTTCTGTTTCCTGTTACATGTACCTGTGATCTGTTCAGCGGCTTCAAGTCAAGCCACAATGGTGCAAAGAGATTATCCAGAAATATGAGCCGTCAGAGGAATGCAAGAAACGTGACATTCTCAGCTTTGATGGTATGTGTTCATGTGCTTTCTAGTCTGTAGATACACACTTGGTGCAAGGTTCTTCATTGAACACCGGACACACATACTGGCAACTTATTCTGCATGTTTTCACATGCCTGCTAGAACAATTCCACTGGCTTGCGAGGATGGGCTTGGAACCCTCATCCTCCTGAGTAGACACCTTTAACTAATCACATCTGACTGAGAATTTGGTGCAGGGAATCAGTGATGCATGTAGATGGTGAAACTTTGCAGCGGGTTGGTGAATTTGGAATTATGAAAAAGTGTGGTGAGGAGTCGCACGTTATGTGTGTGTATGATATTCAGTTGGACTCCACCTGAAGTGAATTCAGAAACAGTTCTGAGTGGGTAAAGTTCACTTGGATTCAGCATGGGGACATTGTTGATGCTTAAATCTTTGAGTGGTTGTTTCTGTCTGAAGAGCTTTTCAGACAGAACGCTTATCTGCATGAACCTACTGTAGTTATTTTTAGTGTTACATATGTTGAATAATTACCGTGCACTGTCGTGTAGACCAGCTGTATATATTGAAGGATATACATGGATGTGTTGCATTGCTTTGTTGGCAAGTTTTCGTTTCAGTTTTACACATAGCCCACAAGTCTTTATTTGTACCTAAGGCACTTTCCTGGTTGGAAGTAATTCATGTTTTTGAAAGACAAATTTCCAGATTTTCAGAGCAAGGATTGCTACTTGTTTTGCGTATGTGAGCTACCTTAGTTGTAGATCATGTGATTCAAGACAGCTACATCTTCTGCTCTTGTTACTGAGTGCATATCCTTTAGTGTTGATTGATTTCATTGATGCAACTTGTATGTGGACTTGGATGTTGCATGTAGGTCAGTTAGCGGTTGTGGTACGTTGGTTTTGTAGTTGTACGCTTATGCGGGACTGCTTTGAAAGAAAGTTCTGACTCTTCCCTTGAAAGAAATCCTCGGATATATGTTTGGTCAAGTTTTTGTGAATGCGCTTGGAAGATGTACATGTATTTTGAATGGTTTCTGTGTCAAAGCAGTACTGTTTGCCATCTCAAATTAAAAAAAGGTGGAAAGCCTTGCTCTCATTTTAAGATTGATTCTCCTCAAAGTTTGATAGCACTTGCAATCACCCATCCATAAATAACTAAAATAAACTAAAATAATGACTAAAAGGTATAATAATTGCACCAAAGAATGCTCCTTTCTGAGCAACAAAGAAAAATCTATTTAATTACAGGTTTTGCCCTAACCTTGACCTAACCTAACCTGATATTATAAAAACTGCATACTCAGTGCTTGTCTGAGAGCTTGCAAAAAAATTCACAAGCTTACTTGAGTGGGACTTAAACCCACGACCTCCTGCTTACTAGTGCAGATGTCTTAACCACTTGACCACCGAGCTGGCCAGTCCGAGTCAGATGCAGCAGCGGGTACCACAGACTAGTTTCAAGATGTATTTCGCGTTGGGGAGATGTTAATTTTCATTTTTCGCAAGCTCTCGGACAAGCACTGAGTATACAGTGTTTGTAAATAAGGGCAAAACCTGTCATTAAGATTACATGTAATATCTCCCTATGACGCAAAGTACACCTTTAAAAAAGAAAATCTGTCAATTATTCGTCATGCACACAGGCAAATGTCTTTGTACGAGAGTAATGTGGCCGGCTTAATAAGATACTTCCCACGGTTGTTCTGTTCACCGTAGTCACCTCATTATGCAGTGGTTATCACAATTTTAATCAATGGTAGAACTATTTAAAGAATGGATGGCCGTCACACAACACTTTTTTGTTTTATTTTAAGAACTTTGTAGTCTGGTGCCTTTCCTCTTTGCACATTCTTTTCACTCACGCTCGCTGTGCACACAGGGTTCCAGTTGTTCATGAAGGGCCCCAACGGTTTGCTCTTCAACCCGTTTCACTCCACCATCTATCAAGATATGAAGCAGCCCTTGTGTCACTATTTCATCAACTCTTCGCACAACACGTGAGCATGCATGTTCTTGTAACAAGGATTTTCACCCTAAGTTGGAAGGCTCACAGTCTAAGCCTCAAGTCCAAGATCTGTGTATGTGCGTTCCTTCACTAATCCCTTACAGAGTTTAGGCAAGGCACTACTCTGATTGGCCTTAAAAGGTTCTATGTGATGAGCATTCTTAGACTGACGTTTTGTGCAACTCCCTAAAAAGCATTTGACATCCTTTTTTGGTTAATTGTGTTGAAAAGTGCACTTTTTAGCCATTTCAAATTTTTCTTTAACCCCAAAATAACATTGCATATACGACCTTTAAGCATAAATATGTATGGAAAGGCCATCTGCCGACTTATTGAATGGGTTTCACATGTACTTACATGTATTGTGAAGGAATGCACATGCCTTTTCAAATTTATTCCCAATCAAAATGTTGCCCAGAATGGGTGACATAAACCAGGAATAAGATCGCACAAGGTATGCTGGCAGCAGGATTGTACCCAAGGTATGAAGTACATGTAGCCCAAATGATACCTGGCACCACCTCCTTCCCCCTCCCCTGCCCCCGCCCCCTCCCCCCCAGCAGAAGCATGCAGTTTACTTCGTCCTTCCAGAAATGATATGCAAATTTTTTTTTTCATTTTGCCCAAGTCCAGAAGGATGGAGAGGCAACACTGCAATGATTCCCAGATTTGATAGAATCACAGTTATTGTATGAATGGCATCTGTATTCACTGAAAACAGATATATACATGTTATTACGTTGAAGTGCTCTAGAAAGTTTGAAAAAGGAAAAAGCAATGTTGTCATTTGTACTGGAAAATGTACTTCCAAACTGAAACCCGACTGTCTACAAATGCACCCTTAAAATGTGTGTTTATTCCTGTTCTTGCAATGTTTTTAATGAGCAGTTAGTCCTCCCAGACTCTACTGTGACTAGACCCCAAAACTTCAATCTTTAAGACGAGGCAGAAGGGTGTATCAGCCTCAGAAACTGTGTGATTTGGGCTTTTTTTCTGTCTTCATGTACGGTAGCTATTTGATGAAAGACCAGTTGCGAGGACCTAGCAGTACCGAGGCCTATGTCCGAGCCTTGCAAAGAGGCTGCAGATGCGTTGAGTGTGAGTATAGAGCTTGGCGCTCTCCAAAAAAAAAATTAATGAGAACCAACATTCTGTACTCGAGAGAAATATTTTGTACTGCAATATGCATCACCGTTTTGGCTTTGTATAAGTATGTTGTAAACTGATCAGTCAGCGTGGAAATTTTATACCTACATGTATGGCTGCGGGTCAAGACTTCCACAGCCAAAACATCATCTATCTGTATGTCTAGTATCCTTTGTTTAGACTTCCAGGATTCCAGGCGGCAAATGTTCAATCAAATCCACAATTTTAGCTTGGTGCACAATTTCTACAGCCATTTCATTTTTTGATGCAGTGCTAAGTACAATTTTTTCCAGAGAACATCTCAGTATTGTAGATGAAGTTCAAAGTAGTTGTTATTTGGCAAATATGGCGACTGATAATTGAAAGCCTGTATTTTTGCCTGTTATATTTTGTACAGTTCTCGTGATGATCGGTTTTCAGAAGTGTAGTATGCTCGATATGATAGCCAGAGGTTTGTGTAGGTTTGAATGGCAAACATTACAATACCCCATTCCTGCACTCTACAGTCAATGTCACGTGCGGATGTGCCTAACTCTGAAATAAAAATTACTTCTCCTGTGATTCATGAGAGGGCAAGCCTTTTTTATTTTTGTTTCGTTCTTCCAACACAGGATGTATTTTGCATTGGGACTTCCTGTACCACAAAAATATGTGCTGGCGTGATGCACACACAATTGCAGTGCCCCCCTTGGCTACAGAGAGACATTGTAATCAAATTTGTAGTCTTCAGCCATTTCCTATTTCCGTTTCCTTCTGATTCCTTTCGCAGTGGATTGCTGGGATGGCTCAGACAAAGAGCCGGTTGTTTATCACGGTCACACCCTCACCTCCAAGATCAAGTTCAAGGATGCAATTGAAGCCATAGAGAAATATGCCTTTGCCACCTCAGAGTAAGCTGCTTCCCTCACCTGTTCTCTGTTTCCATATTAAACAGATTTTTTTAGCAGACCAGTTCATACCTTTGTCCAGATCGTTCCCATCGCTTTGTCTTGAGTGCGGTTATGTATCCTTGGTTGTGTGTTCCAAGTAATTTTAATCACATCCTATTCCGTCATAATATAGTGAAAAGCGCGTATGACCCACTACCTTAAAATTAAACAATTGAAACTCTTTTGAGATTTGCATATTTCCAACGTTTCGAACATCTTGAGAAACTTCACAAATCAGAGGAATGCATCCCACACAGTTGTTGACAGCTGACCTATGACCTTTGAAGTTTGTAATTTTGGGGGCACTTCAGAGCTTAAAATCTTATGTCTTGTGTTCGCTTTTTTGCACTAGATACCCACTGATTTTGTCGCTGGAGAACCATTGTAGCATCGAACAACAGAAGGTCATGGCTCATCACCTCAAGACAACATTTGGCAGTATCCTTTAAACACAAACCGGACGGACTGTTGTCACTACTTCCTGAAATCTTGTCTTCACTCCAACACTTCTTTTTTCCTTCTTGAACGAAAAGATTTCTCTCAAAGAAGACACCTTTATGTTCCTTGACAGTATATTAATCAGACAAGATTTACATGACAGACATCACCCCTGATCAAAAGGTTCTTCCTTCTCCAGAGGATCTGAAAGGGAGGGTTCTTGTCAAGGTAAGTCAAAGAGACATTGGCCAAAAACAGATATAGAACAATAACTGGTGATTTTGTAATTCGTCCTGTTACTTTGTGCTTATGTGTGCATAATGTGTAATGCTGTCTTTTTTCACAGCAGATTGGGTTTTAAACAACATGGACTGTTTTTCTTTGGGGGGTTGTTTTGTTTTGTTTTTTTACACTGGTCAGAGATGAGAGTTATCTTTTGTACATGCCCAAACTCACTGTAAAGTTCCTGAGAATTTGACTTGGAGTCGATGTCACATCATCAAGTTCCAGTAAACCACCCGTGAATGAACCAGTTTACTCGTAAGATTGATGGATTCAGCTGGAAGATTCCAATCTGGGCCTTCTGTCAGTGGCAGACGATGGTTCTCTCCATTTATCAGACAGGCCTTTATCATCAGTTTCTTTTGCATGAGCACCGAGAATGTTGCATTCCATTGGATGGGATGTGAGCCAATCAGAAATGTCCTCAGAAAAGTGCTATTTATCTTAGAAAAATATTGGATTTTTTTAGAGAGAGAGAGGGAGGAGGTTAAATTTGAGAATTGTTTTTGTTTTTAAACAGAACAAAAAGCTGCCCCCTCCTGTGGAGTCTTCCCAGGAAGATGACGGAGACGTGAGTGACGAGGACGAAGCTGCCGAGCTGGAATCCAACGACCCCGACTTCCAAGCCGAAGTGGCCAAGAAGGAGAAGAAGGTTAGCTGAGTGTGGGTTCAGGGATGACCGTAGTGACATAATGGGTTATTTAGTAGCTAGGGGGAAGGGATATGGAGACATTTCTTATTGGTTCATTGGACGAGCGGGCTTTATGTGAACTAGAAAAGGTTAATGGGGTAGCTGAGCCATCTTTTGCATCTGTTGCATTGCAAAGATCTGTCCTTATGTCACTGCTCTGTCCCTCATCTACATGTATCTAAACGGCTGCATTCAAGTCCCCCCTTAGCAAAGTGAGTCATAAGTATCGTTAACCAGAAATAAAGCCGACGATGGGTACAGTACTAAGACTACTGATGTGCTGAGTACTTTACTGAAAAATGGCTTTATTTTTGGTACAGTACTCAGCTCATAAAACAAAGTGTGTTTTAGGTATTGGTAACCAAACTTAAAACACACTTAGCTATGGGAGGATGCCATGTTTGTTGGTGGTTGATACCTACTACAGGTCACATGCAATCGGTCGCTTATGCTTTTTTACTCATCAACATATGCCATTTCTTAAACTGATTAAGGAATGAATTTAGGTGCGTTCATCTCATTTCTCATGGACAATTCAAAATTAAAGGTTAACCAAATATTGGTACTATTTTGGGCTAATTCCTACACATGTATGCAGTCCTTCAAGAACCTTGCTACACGTTTTTCTACAAAGTTTTCCCAAAAATCAATGAAGTTTTACGCCATCGGGTGTTTGTCATCATTGTGACTATTTTGTTTTACATAATACTTTCACATCAATGAACGTTTTATATTAATAATTTCTATTTTTCTAATCAATACTAAAGATTATTTGAATTGTGACTGCTGACAAACACTTTTTTTTCCTAACTCTAATGTCACATCACCCTGCTGGTGTCATCTGTCTGCACATCCCATACTTCTTCTGACAGAGTTCGAAGAAAGAGGGACAGGTTTGTGAACTTTCACTAACTTGTTAATTAATCCTATTAATTTTCACACCATTAACATGGGGATAATATTTCACAATCAGATTTTAGGGAAGCAGTAGTTGGTTTAAGGAAACTTGGCGTAACCCTTGAGCCTAGCGTAAGCTTTGTGCGACAAATATGCGGTGTACCTGTGCAGTAGAGTTTTGACTGACCTAATGAAAAGTTCCATAGCTACATGTATGCACCAATTTAAATGAAATTACATTATTGGGTAAAGTTTCGTGAAATTGCGTGCAGCTGTCTTACCGTTACCGATTTGGCGTTTGACCAAATTCTGTGTTTTATGTACATTCAATCAAAAGATTTTTTTTTTACTTTTTAATGTTTAATACAAGAGAGTAATGAATAGTATAGGAAGAGGCACAGTTGATGTCATGAAACCGTTGTTTTTATTTTCCTTTTTATTGTAAAATTAATTGGCTAGCTTAGACAACTTCAATAGTGTAATTCTCATCACACATTCTGAAGTTTTGGCTCAAAACCATTTGTTTAAGTCACTGACAAGGTTAAAATATCAACTACATAATGTTTCTTCACTTTTGCTGTTTCTGACAATTTGCAGAAAAAGAAAGGTTCACACAAGGCCAGTATTTATATGTTTTTAGCCGAAAAAGAATTTTTTTTTTAGTTTTTGGTAAGATCAGTTTCAAATGTCAATACATATGAACTCCAGAGGATTTTTTTACATTTACGTGTTTGCTTATCAGTTCAAATCATGTGTAACTACTAACAAACTTCTTTAGTCTGATTATAAATCACTAATGTTTGTGATTTTGCTTCAGATTCCTTTTTGCTTTTCCTTTTAGCTCAATTTAGCTTAATGCATGCATTAATTTTTAATGTCTTATTTCCTTCTTGTAATGCCAAAGCCCCATGAGAACCATTTAGCATTAGCTTCTTTGGTGGATATGATTTCCACCAAGGATCCCTCTGTCTCCCGCATCGAGGTAAAGTCTTGTCCACGTTTTGCCTCTAGTGTCTTGCCGTTGTAGCATGCGGTACCTGTCGCTCTCTAAGGTACACCTTTTGAGTGTAGGTAGTCACACCCTTGTATGGTGTTCATTTCTTGTGACTCATCTTGATGAACAGCAAAAAATTTGTGTTGGATGTTAAAAGCAGAAATGTTGTGTTCATCATTTGGAAGGGTTGTTCGCTGCTCCAGTAAGCAAGTTATTGTGCTTGCAAGAAATTTTCTTGGAAGGTTGATGATAGCAACTGTAATCTTCATACACACTCTTCACAATTATTGCTTGAGCTCTCTTGTTCATTGTGAAATTTAGATTAGATCCATCGGCACTGAATAATGTGCTCATAATCAGCACTATAAAACAGTACGTTACTCTGTTTGTGAGGCTGCTTTTTTTTAGGCTTCTTCTCTTTGTGTAACTTTTCTTTGCAACACGTTTTTGTTGGGGGTTGCTTCTTTTTTTTTTGGCTTCATGAAGATATTGTGCCTTTAAAAGCAAAAGGTTTTCCTCCAATCCTGCATTATTATTAGAAAGTTAAATTTTTTTGCTCATTTCTGATTGGTCAGTGCTGTGTTTATCAAATGTCAGATTTGCGTCTGAATGGAAAATGAAAATGGTCATGACAGATCCAGAAACAAGTTTTGGTTTGTGACATTTTTCAGATGTCGTTTTTAGGGGTGCAAAGATTTACAGTAGAAAAAAAAGCAGTAATGTACATGTAGATGTCTTCTGTAGTGGGCATTTCTAGAGTAGAAATAATCTTGACTCACACTCATGCATATAGCTGCATGTTGCAAGCATCTTTACGCATTTTGTTCCACAATGACACAACATCTAGGAGATTGGTCTGCCAATGAAAAATGCTGAGAAATACCGAACTGAAAGTTTATAACATCAAGTTGCTTCCAAGTAGAAAGTTGAAAAAGCCTTTAGTTCTTTAAACAGGTAATAGGTTCGTAGTTAGTAGGTGGTATGTAGATACATGTGGAGTGTTTTCATGGGGCTTATTATAGTGTTTACTGATTCTGTGTCTCATTATTGTAATGCTGTATTTGAATGTGAGTGGTAATGCTCATGTGATGAATGATCCCAAAGTTGATATAACCACCATGCAGCTGGCCAACTTTATTATTTTGATTAATGTTTGGTAATGAAAGCCAAGGAATCTTCAATAGCATTCATGGCAATGCAGCTGGCAGGCTTGGAAGAAATCAGAAGAGGAAGAAGTGTGCAATTTGGGAGTTGGGAAGAAAACCCCAGATAAATATATCGGGGAAACCCATGGAATCAGGCAGAGACTGGTCCCCCGATCCACCATGTCATTCTGGGTGGGATTCGAACCACTGACCTGACACCTCCTGTGTTGTCGTTCCTTTGACAACTCAGGTAATATTTAGATGATCATTGTGTGGTGTTGTGTTATAGTCAAGCATGCGGTAAGTCATCAGCCAACTATTAACAGTTTGCCCCCTCACAAAGCGTTTTTCTAATTCAGGAATGAATTTATGTTTGTTTGTGTGTTTGTTTGTTGGGTTGTTTGTGTGTTTGTTTGTTGGTTTGTTGGGGTGTTTGTTTGTTTGTTTTTGTGTGTGTTATTTGGGTGTTGATCTTGCTTAGTGGACGATCCATCGTATGTCTTGTCAATTTTCCCCAGAATTGATTCTTTAAGAATAACTTACAGTTCTAGTCATGCAGGTACATGTATTTGTATCAATCCAGCATGAAGTCATGCTCAACAAAATTCTTCACTTGTAACCTTAAAAAAGACTTACTGTTGAGGGTTTTTCCCACAGGCTAAGCTGAAACTTGCCAGGGAGATCTCCAACTTGGTCAATGTCTGCAAAAGTGTCCATTTCAAAAGTTTTCCGCATTCAAAGGAAAACCGTAAGTATTTTGAACCTGATCCAGAAGTTTTCAAGATGTTGCAGATTAAATACTGGCAAAATCAAGAAAATTTGAAAACCGCAAGATTTCAGCAGTGACAGGAAAGTGAATGAACATATTCACTGATACAGATTTCCATATTGAAGGCTGTCAGATATCTCATGTTAAGTCAAATTACCCATTTAATAACACCATGAATGACCTGGATGTGATTTCCCTTCAGAAATGCAAAGATGATTTGGGTGGACATGATATTGGAGTGATTTTGGTAGGCGTCATCTAAAAATCACAGCCAAGTCTGAAATCACATCCAGGATAATGATGTGATATTGGTTATAACATGGCCAGATAGTGGATGTGGTTCTGGAAAGGTGCTAACACGGGATGTGATTTGGGACTTGAGCGACTGAATCCTGAATACTATTTCTCTGATGACTGTGATGTGATTTGAAAACATGCTCAGATCAGGTGGGAAAAGAGTCAACTCACTCTACAAACTGCGATATTTGTCATTGTGGGTATGCCTATTACCAATTCATTTGAAAAGAGTTCCATATATTAGACAACACTTCATGCCTCTCTGCACAAACCTACATTATGAGATTTTTCTGAAAAAAAACACTTGCTTTCTCAGCAAATGCTTCAGAATTGTCTCAGTTTTCCATTTTTTATGGCTTTTGTAATATTTCTAGGGAGAATTAGTGTTGCCCTTACAGGCCTAAGTAACTCTTCCCATTCATTTGAACCTCTTCAGGAATTTCAGACAAATATGAAGAAAAAGTAAAATTTAAATTACGCATAGCATAAATTGCAAGAAAAAAATGATCAACGGTTGCTCCAGGAAGCTGTAAAATCCACCACAGAGCATCTGTATTTCAAAATTGTCCCAATTTCAAAATTTTGACCCCACGCCGTATATGCTTCATGATTCGTGCTCGCGATTTCTGGTATTTTCAGCTGATTTTTTATATTCCACTCACACCCCTGGTTGACAAATGTGTGACCAGAATTTTGTGTAGCCAGTGTCATCTCTCTCTTCAATTGAACACAAAGGAAAACTGTTCACTGTGACTTAGGTTTGGTTGAACAGGAAATTTGGCTTTAGTAGGATTGGGTCAGTACAACAGTGGTCCAATGCAGCCTTGAGTTATTTCTCTGTGTAAAACTTAAAGGTGTTACTATCATTTTCCCTTGGTTTAGACAAGTGCAATGAGATGGTTTCCCTTGGGGAGAGCAAGGCCTTTGACCTCGCAAAGAACAGTGGGCAGGAGATGGTCGAGCATAACACTCGCTTCCTGACCAGGATTTACCCTGCCGGCCGGCGGACAAATTCCTCCAATTACAACCCCATGAAGATGTGGACAGTGGGCTCACAGATAGGTACGTGCTCACCAAGGAACACTGGCATTTGTCATGCCTCCCTCTTCAGCGACCTCTTTTGAGAGAAGCTGGAATTCAGATAGCAATTTAGACCAGTCATAAATCGTGCAAAAGTAGCACAGAGCAGCATAATTTTAAGGTGTGTTTTTTTAGGCCTTTAGGTCTCAGCAGTTAGCCAAGAACCCTTGAACACAGTTTTGCCACTTGACTTCAACCCAACAATTTATTTTCAGACAAGACAGTAGAAGACATGTCAATTTCGAGGTTGAACAAATCCTATGGCATTAATGCTGTCTTGTTAATTCCATTGTTGCAGGTGCTCACGGCAGGTGCTTGTTGAGATGAAAATGTCTCTTTTGACTGCAGCATTTTGACTGGAAGGCTGAAAACTGTGGGACCTTTTCCAAATTCTCAGCCAGTTTCAGCAACTCACCCTCGGAACAAAATCTAAACTCCCCAAATTCTCGGGTCATTTTGAACAGTTTGATTTTTTTGGACAGAAAATGGAACCCTAATGGGATCTCATCTCGGGGGGGGGATAAAATCATAAAAAGTGGAGCTTGAAAATAGATGTAGAGAGGAAGCCTGGTATTTGATCCACCGTCCCCGCATTACCAAGGAATTGTTTAGAACAGAAAGCATCACGGCATATTGACCACAATCTCTGGAGAACCTGCCAGGTTTTGCATTTGATTCAAAAGCCAAAATTACCTCTTGAACTTTCTGCACGAAACAATTTGTCTCTTTACAGTTGCCCTCAACTTCCAGACAGCAGGAGACGAGATGGACCTGAACTTAGGAAAGTTCCAACAGAACGGCAACTGTGGCTTCATTCTGAAACCGGTCTTTCTTCGCAAAGGTAAAAAAGTTCAATCTCTGCTACACTTCACATTTGTAGCTGGATGTTTATTAATTTTAGAAGATTCTACCATTATAATTCTGCCTGTGTTTTATTATTTATCTACACTCAGAATGTGTGTGTTTTATTAGACTTAAGACTATCTTCAGTTCAAATTGTTTGCTGTAATCGGTTGTGATGGTCTGTTGTAGTATTCAAGTCCAGTCACAAGTCCCTTCACAAGTCCAGTCACAAGTCCTTTCACAAGTCCAGTCACAAGTCCCTTCACAAGTCCAGTCACAAGTCCCATCACAAGTCCAGTCACAAGTCCCTTCACAAGTCCAGTTACAAGTCCCTTCACAGGTCCAGTCACAAGTCCCTTCACAAGTCCAGT